ATATTTATATCAGTGTTCTAATCCATTATTGTCGCGGCAAATTCAAATTTTAAACCGATCGAAACACATGCTCGAATTTCACAAATGAATATTGGACTAGGTATTCCTTTATAATTTGCTTTATTATAAACAAAATATAAACATATGCTCACCTGAACATTATACAAACATCGCTGATCTATTACTAGTGAAAATCCAGTTGAATCTCATAAAAAATAGTTCTATTTTGAACATATAAAGCATTCACAAACAAAAAATTTATAAAATATCGGAGGTGTGATGACCTATCCCAAGATGCTTTGTGCGTGCGGCAAAAAAACTAGACACCAGTCTGTTGGTCGCGCACATTGCGGTAATTATTCATTTAATTAATGTTAGAATAAATTTATTTTCCAATCCTATAGGAATTCCTATAGGAATTTTTATTTCATATATGTATATATATATAGGAATTTCGTTTTCCTAAAGGAATTTTTTCACCATTTTCAAATCTTATATCAATTCTTATAGGAATTTTCAAATCCTATAGGAATTTCATTTCTTATAGGAATTCCTATAGGAAATTTTCGTAAGCGTTGGCATAGCATTGCCATAGAAATCATATGTATGGATTCTCTATGGGAGGCCAGAACCACACCAAGTTCAGACTACCATATAATTCCCATAGATATGGGAAGTATATGGCACAACCAAGTGTGGACTACCATATAATTCCCATAGGTATGGGAAGTATATGCATGCCATTGATATGGATTACCTATGGACCAAGTAACCCCACAGATTTCCCATAGGATTAATAGCAATGTGTTTGTTTCCATAGCTTTTCCATATCTCAATATTTAACAAATTTAGACACCATACCAATCCCACATGATATCTATATTGTCCCGTCATATATGGCCCAAACTTTGCCATATCTTTCCCATACTTTTGCTATATATTCATAATTGGCTTTGCGCAAATAGGCTCTCATTGAATATAGAAAATCAAATTTTGTTGTTTTTCACCCACCTCAAAGAAAATTACCTTTTAATCTAGAATTAACCTTGAATAATATACCATTACAACAAGAGAAATGTATCAAGTATCTTGGTATTTTTATTGATTCAAATCTCAGTTGGAAACCCCAGGTTGATAATATTGCAAAAAAGATAAAGAGAAGCGTTGGAGTTTTATCAAAACTTCGATATTATGTTAATATAAACATTCTAACCAACATTTATTATGCTTTAATTTACCCATATTTAATATATGGGATAACTGTTTGGGGTAATACATACCTTACAACTTTACAACCCCTTTTTGTTTTGCAGAAAAAATCTATGCGTATTATGACTTTCTCTAAATTCGATGACCACACAAGCCCTATCTTTAAGTCATTAAAAGTTATCAAGCTGTGTGATCTTGTTACACTGCATATTGCAGTTTTCATGTTTAAATTTCACAATCAAATGTTACCTTCCCTTACGAAAATTTCCTATAGGAATTCCTATAGGAAAAATTCCTATAAGAATTTTTCCTATAGGAATTCTAGAATCTAGATGAAATAGTAAATGACAGACAATGTTGTTCATCACTCTTAATTTTTTAATGCAAAAAATAGATATAAATATTAATAAATACTAATTAATATTGCAAATATAAAAATTAATATGAGAAACTGGTTATACTAACATTACAAATCAATTATAGTTTTCACCTATTGTGCCAAATTAATCGTTCTACCTCAATGCAATGCCATATGATGCGTCCTACTTTATTATTTTACTCTGTCTAACTATTTTACTCAGACTATTTCTGTCTAACTCCAGACAATTGTACTTGAATGTCAAGGGGAAATGCTGGCTCCGAATGGGTTAACTAGCCTATATTCCTATATATGTGTCTAGTTAACCCATTGAATCACATTGCGCCCTAGAATTCCTATAGGAATTTTCAATGCCAATAGGAATTCCTATAGGGAATGAAAATTCCTATAGGAATTCCTATAGGAATTTTCAATGCCTATAGGAATTCCTATAGGAAATTTTATTCCTATAGGAATTCCTATAGGAGTTTTCAATGCCTATAGGAATTTCTATAGGAAATGAAAATTCCTATAGGAAATTTCAATTCCTATAGGAATTCCTATAGGAATTTTTTGACCATTTTCAATTCCTATAGGAATTCCTATAGGAATTTTCAATTCATATAGGAATTCCTATAGGAATTTTCAATTCCTATAGGAATTCCTATAGGAATTTTGATTTCCTATAGGAATTCCTATAGGAAATTTTCGTAAGGGTTCTGCGTTCAGTTCCTTTTTTACTTCCATTTGAAACAATCCATAATTATAATACACGATCAACTGCAAATCAATCTTATTATCTTCCCAAAGCAAGGACAAATTATGGTAAATTTAATATTAGGTTTCAAGGGCCTAAAGTCTGGAACTCGTTTGGTTTAGATTTTAAATCTGTTTCTTACATGAAATTTTAAAAAAATTTAAGAAAAGAATTTTTAAGTAAATATTGATCATTTTTTGTTTTTCAATAAGATTCAATATTAAGACTGATTTCTGCCCCTCGTTTCAATTTTTTATTATAATGAAAACTATGGTAGAACTTGTATTAGTGTATGTGTAAATATAGTATAGTTTTGTGTTTGTGTGTATACTGAGTACTGTATATCTTCGACCCGTAATGTAACTTAATTTATGTTTCCTGGCTTCCTAACTTTTTTAGCTTTTTAGTTATTTTAGGAAGCCAGTACCTCTACACTTTTAAATATCAAACTTGTTAAAATTTTCTGTAACTGTTTATATGTAGGTAAATAAAAATTTGTTGTTGTTGTTGTATATAATATATTTTTGTTTATTCCAGAATTATCTCACAATTGGGACACCATAATTTGGCATTTGTCCTGACTCACTCCTGGTTTCCAAATTAACCCATAGAGTGGCTCTCCCATTGACAAGTAAAAATACGGCAGGCAAAATGCAGTACAAGGAAGATGTATGGAAATTGAAGACACAAAAGCTGGATTAATTTTTGAACTATTTTAATTGGACTTTTCAATACAGTAAAATTATTAACAGTGAATAATTTTAAATTAACACTAAAATGATTGTAATTAAGTGTACATGATGTAGTGGAGTAACTTAATTCAGGGGTGGATTAATAGGGGGGTGCACACCCCTGTTGGCCTTGGTCAACAAGGGTGCAATAAAATCAAATTCAGAAACATGGCATAATTTCCAAGGTTTTCCCTTTTTTGAAGTCAAACTGAAGCTCATAATCCAATGTCCATATCCCTGAACCCCCTAGAGAGCTTGCGCCTTTAGTGCTTGAGTCGTTAGGTAGCCAATTCATTCATTCTCCCACCACCCCTTAAAGAATTATAAAGAAACACTTGGCTGCTCACCTTGCTGGATCCACCCCTGAAGGCTTTCAAGTAATACTTAATATAAGTTCAATTTAATCAATCTTTTATCACACTACATTAAATAATATCTAACATCTCTCGTCCGCCATACTTGAATCCCCGTTCTCTCCGTCCCGCGGTATATGTCTATGATACCACTAAATACTTCATTTAAATATAAATATAGGGTACCTTATCCCCCCTTTTTAACAGAAAATGTCCATAATAATGACACAGTTATTTTAGTCCTTGAATATACCCATCATTGTGAAATGTTACATTTCATAGTCAATATATCTGGGGTTAGGTCTTCGTAGCCTTTGTGATCGACGAGGAATACAAGATCCAGGGCAGTCGTTTGCGCTGCTTACTTCGCCTCCATTCTCATGCCCTGGTTCTACGTGGTTAGTCTCTTGTTTATCTTCCTCATCTTGATTTCCGCTTTCATAACTGTCATCTACCTTGGGTCTACACTGCTCAAACCATCTATGCCATTCCCCATTTTCGATAGCTTCATCCGATATTACGCCCCTTTCCATAACTGTATCATGCGGTCCGTAGTAACATTTGACGTCATCCGGGTGTCTTTTAAAGATCGTCCCATCACGCTTTCTTTCGATAGTTAGGAATCGACCATCATCTGAGCATTCAACAATCTCACAATTCTCTGGAAGGAATACAGGATCAAACTTGGAGGACTTTCTGTAATTTCGTAACATGACATCATCTCCAATTTGAAACTCTGACGGTATCTTATATTTAGATGCATTAACTTGGTCCTGACGATCCTGTTTCATTGCCTTGTCCTTTCCTCTAGCCTCTTCCACTTGCTCTGCAGGTACAGATCTTCTTGGGAAGGCACTCTTACTACCCTCTCTGAAAAGCATAGCAGCAGGGGGAATACCAGTAGCTGGGTGTGGGGTGTCACGATAATTCATCAACAGGTGGTTAAGTGCTTCTTTCTCCGAGGACCTATTATAGTGTGCTATTTTCATGGTTTTTCCAAGTGGCTTCATAAAGGTCTCCACAGGATTAGCCGATGGGTGCAATGGAGGGATCTTCTTCAAATGGATATCTCGCTTCTGAGCAAATGCTTCCATAGCTTCCGAGTTAAATGGTGGTCCATTGTCTGAGAGTTGATGTTCTGGGTTTCCATACGAATTATATATCTCGTCCATAGCCGGGAGAACATGGGAAGCTTTGGTAGAGGCAACCAACTTTGCAGCTGGAAATCTTGAAGCTAGGTCCTGTACGACAACTATATGCTTTGAGGACGGCATAGGGCCAAATAGATCTACTGCAACCGTCTCCCAACATTTTCTTGGTACCTCGTGCGCTTTAATTGGTTCGGACGTCTTCTTGTCACTGAACATATTGCACTCTTTGCAACTCTCGACGAATTGCTTCACTTTGGGATGCATATCATGGAAGAAAAAGTGATACCTTAGACGCCTTTCAATCCCACTCTGTCCCATGTGACTTCCTCTATGGGCCAGCTGAATTGCTGTATCTTGCAGGCTCTCTGGAAGAATAATTCTCTCTCCTTTGAACATAACGCCGTTTCCTGTTATTATGTGCGCCCTGCAGCATTCTCTCCGATGTTAAAAGTGCTCAATACAGCTCTGACATTCCACCGATCCATCTGTCTAGTTGGATCAAAAGGAGTAGGGAAGACAACTCTGCTAAAGGCGCTGGAAACAAATGTAGAATTGCCTTCCATTTATTTTGACTTGAATAACGTAAATGATTGGTCTACTTTCAATGAAAATGTGAAAAAACTGGAAGAAGGTACCGGGGATCGTGTAGTCTTATTTCTTGATAACATTCAGCATGCAGTCAGAAACGAAGGTGCGAGGAGAATTATTTCAACTTATGTGAAGCAACCGGCTCATAATAGAAAAATTCAAGTATTCGCTGCATCGTCAAGAGCTGGGCTCTTCAGGCTGAGAGCCGATTCAGATCTTCACTTAAATCCTGACGACTTCTTTTTGTACTATGTAACACCAGAAGAAAATGTAGCGATAGAAGTAATGAAAAAGGTGTTACCGGATTATGAAAAGAATGAAGTCGCGTACATGAGATGGGTAACATCTGCAGGATTTGTTGTGGGGGAAGTGTTTGAACTGGAGCTTTTCCTTCAGGTGGAAGCGGCACACAGTTCCAGAGAAACGCTTGATCAGTTGTTAAAGGAGTTCGTGAAATACCGTGAGGGCAGTTTACGGACAATATTGAAAGAGGACGAACAGTTGTTTCCCATTGATTCGAAACATATTTTTACAAAATGCCTGGCAGTTTGTGTTGTTGGTGGTGGTGTTCCAATGTCCGACCTGAGTGAACTCTATCAACTGGCACCATCAGATCTCCCTTGGACCCTTCTAAAGGTGAAAAATAGAACTTTAACGGCAGTGTCACCACAAGCGAAGGCAGCAATGCAAACCTTCATGAGAACAAATCAAGATTTGGCAAAACAGCTGCTATACCTTATCGATGCAGGTAGGCACAGGAGTTCTGGTAGCATGCGTGGGGCACTATTCGAGGAATTTTTCTTTCAAGCATTACCTGGTATGATCATAGTTTTGAAGAGACATGGTTGCATTGATGAAATAGTGAACCTGAAGATAGTTTCTCCGGCTGTGTACGAAGTTAAGGGCAGCAATCTTGGAGATTTTTTACCAGAGACGAATTATTGTTACTATACACCTAACATGCGAGATGTGGACATTATTTTAAATGTCGATGACAAGATCCTCTTAATTCAGTGCTCGATTTCAAGAGAGATCGAGGTAAAAAAAGGTTTTTGGAGAACCGCGGAAAATAGAAAGTTGACTGCAGTTCTTGCTGGGCCATCGCATGTAAAAAAGCATCTGGAAGATAGTAACTCTCAACTTGCTAACGAGTACAAACAAAATAAATTTGCGTTTGTACTCGGCAATGATGTTTTGGGGGACGATTTTGTTAATCTTCTGACGTATGTGCAGGGCAATGACCGGTGACTGCATATGTGTGAGATACGTGTGTGAGATACATGAATTTTTTCTTTCGTGAGCATGTGTGAGATACATGAATTGTTCATCTATCGTGTTTAACGCAATGCATTGTGGGGTTATTTTAAACTGCTGTAAATCAATTATTATATAGTTTAAAACTTCGTATAAAACTGGCGCACATTATTTTTTTCGTTATTTCCCGGTCCCATGATAAACAATTATCCCCAATTATCCCATCCTCGTCGCCATTAATATAAGTTCAATTTAATCAATCTTTTATCACACTACATTAAATAATATCTAACATCTCTCGTCCGCCATACTTGAATCCCCGTTCTCTCCGTCCCGCGGTATATGTCTATGATACCACTAAATACTTCATTTAAATATAAATATAGGGTACCTTAATACTGTAATAGGAGGCAGCGCAGTACTTATATCATGCAAATAATTATATTTAATTACACAGTTCCCATATGTATAAACAAACAGGAGGCAGGAGCATGCAATGCATTGTAGTTGACAATGATTCTTTAATTAACATTTATACTTTTATACACTGTATGTTAATTATCATCACCATCATAGACATATTTTCAAATTTTGCTTGGGGAGTTGGGGTGTGGGTGTGCAAAAAAATTCAGGCGTGGAAAGTGAGCGAGGAGCACATAATGTGCTGAGTAAGATGCAGCAGAGTCTGAGGGTACAGTCACTAGCGGGGACAGAGTTGGGATAAGGTTAGGGGCAATGACCCCAGGATATTTCGAGATTATTGGCCTTGTTTTTTGTCTATAGTTAGTTCAAATTTGTTGTTCAATTGTACTGCTGTCATTTAATCAAAGCAGCATTTAAATTTCTGTGGTGGGAGAACTTTCTGAGGTGGTGAAAATATTTTTGGGGGTGCACACACACCACCCCCCCCCCCAGAAAATCCATCAATGATTGCCATCAGATAATTAAGTTATTATGATATTAATATTATGACTTTGTTTTGGCTATTCTGCATTTTAATGCCTTGTCCCATGTTTTGTGATATCTATAACCAATAATTCCTGCAAAATAAAAGACGACAATCATATTACACTAATATTATTACACATTCTTCCACCTGAAAAACAGCATTACCAAAAATTGTGGATGCATGCTTCTTTTCATCCACAAAACTGCATATACACTTAATAAAGTTCCTTTTACATAGTACTGAAATGGCAAATCATTATCCACTAGTTTAATCATAGTTTCTTTGTAACCAATTTCATGAACGTCAAGACAATCACAGGGAAATTAAGATAACAATTTGTTCAAGAGAGAGGAAGGATCCACAGTTAGGTTTACTAATTAATAAAAATATTCTTGTTGTAGTTCTTTGTGTATTCCGCTCTGTTGTGGAAATACGTGTACATGTATGGTTTGAACATTGAGTCATATTGCAGAAAAATCCACACTCCAACTAAACGTGGAGGAAACTTATGCTGTCTGGAGGGGACGATTAGAATCTACTCCTGAGAAAAGCAAAATACACTATAAATAGGACAGGGGCTTGCAACTTCACATTTCTTGTGTAGGGATGATGTGGATGTTTTCAGATAATTTTCAAAATCTTCTGGGTGAGTGTGCCCCCAGAACCACTAATAGGCTCATGCCTTTGGCAGCTACCTCCAATTTCTTAATGATGCCATTTATTTTTCCCCCACTTCTGTTTTACTGGCTATGCCACTGCTCACAATATTAAATTTAACAGTTTCTGGAGTCTTGTAATACTTGTCACTTGATTATATGGCAAAATCTGATCAGTCAATTCAGTAGCGTAGCCAGCCTGAAAATTTACTCCTGCTATGTAAATTTCAAAGCATTATCATTATTCATTTCTTTAGAAATTCATTGTTTTTACAGTCTATGAACACAGAAATATTTGCATAGCAGGAGCAAATAGTCAGGCTGGCTATGCCACTGAGTCAATTTATTGTATATGTGGGCCATTAACACTAACAGTCGTTAACAGTACACTACTATATGTTGATGTCATAGCAAGTGAATCCAGTGTAGTGGCCCTGGCTATTTTGACCCCCTCTCTGGACTTGCATGTGCTTATCCTGGTCTATATTTTAAGTGTATTTAAATGATTTTCACACCATAATCTGTGTAAGACACATCGCCAGGGCTAAAACAAAACAGTAAATCTTATGACCACAAATTTTACAAGGTTTTTTTATGACTTTTATGTCCAGTATTGACATATTTGCAGTTCATATTCACACAACTGAACGAGTGTTGAGTTTTAACAAAATATTTTTATAATTTTGTACTATATGTCTCATAAATCTTACCTTTGAAAAGAATTACTCGTCCTTTATGTAAAGTAAATTGTTGCATCAGCAAGCAGAGCAAACCGGCACTTTAATTCCTTCCAAGTTGAAAAAACCCCAGCAAAACACGAGAAAATAAAACACTTCCAAAACCAGGGGGGTGAAACGTCGTCTGAAGCTCAGGATCGCGGTTGGTCAGTGGCAATTGTGTGAGAATTACGCACCAGTTGTCATGGAAATGGCATCAGCAAACGTCAAAATCCGCCATTTTTTTGGCTTCACTTTGATCACTGAACGAAGTATAGGAGCAGGTCCTCCAGTTATTATACAGCTCAGTGACGGAGGCCTTATACGAGGGCCTAAAGGCTGTTTTCCAGTCCTCGCATGAAGCTCCTAGCAGCTCGCTGCGAGTGTTTGCATCTAATTAAAATGAACTGTTTAGCATTGTGATTGGATGAAAGTGTTCATGCATCACTCGCAGTGAGCTGCGAGGAGCTTCGTGCAAGGACTGGAAATCCGCCTTTATACGTGGACGATCAATTGTGTTAGTAATAAACAAGTCAGTCATAAACAGGAAAATAAACATGTATTAATAACACACTTCGATTAACATAGTAAGCTTTAAAGACAATGACAGTGTTTTAAATATCGTTCTCTACTATATTAAAAGACAATGTCAATGTTAAATAACATAGTGGGGTACTGGGCTTCTATTCAGGGCACTTATATTCAGGGGGAGCTTATATTTGGAATGAGGTGAGCATTATATTCAAAGGTTTACAATATACAGTTGAAAAAAGCTTGTATTTTCTTGTCATAGACACACATTTCTGGGTGCATTAGAACAGCTTATACGTTGGGTTCTCATGTCGATCCAATGGTAATTTGATATCGCTGCCATCACCATAGTATAGTGTAGCAGAGAATGGTCTTGTATCATACTATCATGCATGCAGAAATGCCTTGGTCATTCATGTGGAGATATGACTATCACGACAGAATTAGTTATGCCAAGTAACATGTCATACACATCAGGTAGGAGCTGAAATATTTTAATATTTGCCATAATAAGCCCATAACCTGTTGGCAAAACAACCAAAACATCTTCACCATTTTACAATGGCGGAGATACATTTGAATGTCTCGTTTTTAACGAATATTCAAGCCCTCTTTTCGCTAGAACAGCTTTAATAGCTCTTTCAATATTTGCGATTGAATATATATATTGAATGCAGTGCGATTTAAAGCACCTTTAAACATATAAAAAACCATTTTGTATACTATATTCTGATGAGAAATCTGTTCAACAAATATATCGATTGTGAGTGTGTGCCCATGCGAATTTAGTAAGCGGAATAAACATAAACAATAAAAGTGCATGTGCCATTTATCTCATTTTAAATAAAATAAATTCGATTTCGCCAGAGTCATGCCACTACCTAACCCGCAAACAGGCATACTCTGGGAACAAGATTGCTTCAAGGCAATTAAATTTTGCATGAATTTTTCATTTTTATTTACATTATAAATTAATGTATATGGGGGTATGCACATCACACATAGATCAGGGGTGCTATCTCAGTTTCCCTGCCTGTTTTTTATAGTGCCCTGCTTGAATAACTGCACGAATGCACTTCTATATTCTGTATTAAATAAATAACACATGCACTTGTTAAGACTAAAATACCCAGAGTACACACATAAACAGGACATTGGCATTTTGTTCTTGTTCAGAGGCTGAATTTTGATCTGCAGTTGTGGCAAATGTGGTGCAACCCATTCTCGTACCCTGCAACCTTTGTCATGATGCTCTGTTGACTGTGTGTATTAAGACAGGCTCTGGGCACGAGAATGTGGCATAGTCTAGCTCCATTTAAAGATTGGCTACCTCCACAAAAATAAAATCCACAGCTATGTTGCAGCCCTGATGGGAGCAACAAAAAAACACTCGATGATGTGCACAAGTTTGTTTGTGACTACATCCAAAAAATTGCTGCCAGAAAAGGTACCAATATTATCAAAATTTCAAGTCTCTTTTCTAACTATTGTGCACACTAGTGAACAGGGGTCTTGTATTTCCTGAACAAGGAGGCTAATATGCATTGTGTTATGGTAGATTTTTTTTGCAAATGTGCAACAGACTTGAAAGATAGAGCCGAGCAGGTGATGGCCTAATAAAGAAAACAACATCCTTAAATATCAATGTCAAGAATTATATGGCCAAATGAGGGATGCCCAAAAGGCTGAGAAAGATGCTACCAGAACTTACAGCAGGCCACAGCAAACATTGACATCCTACAGACCGAAAATCTGGAACTCTGAGAAATTGGGCAAGATGTTAATGTACTTACTACTCTCTTCCTTTAAAAAAGCAAGTATCATGCCAATGATCCTGTGTGCTTTTGTTAACATCTGATAATTACATTCGCACATTGCATTATTGTTACTATAGATATAAAATAAATATAGTGACTTTATTTATCATTGTTCTGTATTTTGCTGGTAAATCAGTAAATAAATGGACAACTTGCATATGTTAGACTATCTTTTAATCTAAGCAAAGAGAAGGCAATCAAACACAACAGCTAAAAAGAACATAGTGAAATTAGAAAAATTGCAAAATTTGGTTCTGAAATGTTGTAAAGTTTGGAAAATAATAGCCTTGCGAAGTTTGCATATTTTCAGTATGTTGGTATTACGTGCGGAAATTGAATGGATCAATCCTCCTGGGTCCCCAGGGGTTGACCCTAGGGGGAAGCCGCTGATACCTGCACTACCTCCAAATTAATGATGATGTTTAATTCTTGCAGACAAAATCATTGACAGAAATAGAATACAGCCAAAAATCACAAATCTTAAATCTAAAACATCAGCCAAGCACAAGGCCGCCGGAGGGGGGAGGTGAAAATGCCCTCACAAATGAGAACACATCCAGGACTGGAATTTGACTTGAGCTGGGAGCATTTGGATTCTAGCGATGCATTGTTTCAGTGGGTTTTGTTGGGACACCCTTTACAGTATACCTTGACTTTAATTGAAAGGTCTATGTTGGGAAGAGGAGGGGCACCATGCAATGGACTTTACATCCAGTTTGTGCCCTGTCCGTTTGAGTACAGCACTTCTTTAATTGCATGTTCAGATGAATACTTATATATATTTTGAATTAATTTGTACTCAATAGTGTTTAACAAACAAACAAACAAACCATTCAGTAGTGAAAATCAGAGGTCAGGAATCATACGAACTGCTGGAGACTTTGTGTGCTGTTATATTCAAACAAGCAAAAATGTTAGTGAAGGAGAAATATCAATGGATGCAAAAGATATTCCTTTAAATGTTTCTTAAATGAGTTACGTTGAAAACAATCAATGAAATACACTGTAGGAATATACATACATGAATGACAGAAAACAAGAACTAGTGTATAATAAGCAATATAATAGTGTATAATAAGTGTATATTTTCATCTTTCTTACATATGTACCAAAGGTACATGTGAAGGTGAGGGGGGGTGTGGTCGCCCTCTTAGAGAATGTTATATTAGATGACCTCCATCTGATATTGCAAATAACAGGTACTAAAACATACCATTGGGTAGTATGTACTTTTATGTATTGTATGTCTGATTGAGAACATTGTTATTTGTTCTCCAAGATTATCACAAAATTTAACAAGTTTTGTCTAATATTTTGGTTTTCTACAGGAAAACCATTTTTAAAGATGTTTGTGATATTATCCATTGATTTTATGTTGTGTCAGTTGCATGATTATCTTTGTGTGTGTTCACATTCTGCATGCAGGTGTGAACGCTCACATTCTGTGTGTGTGCTTGTTTATTGGCAATTAATTAACTTATTGTCATCTGGTCATATTACATATTCTGACTTTGGAGAGGGAAAATTTAAAATATCTCGGCAAGTATTTACCTCCCTTTAAAACGAAAACCACTGTTGAAATCCTCATAAAATAACCTCTCGCAATGGGGGTCAAATGCTGTCATAACATTACACACAAACCAAAACAATCATATATTTACTCACCGCTTGGCCAAATCATTATACATAATCTGAACTAATAATAATTTCATACCTTCGGTTAAGTATAATTATTAACTTTGTAACGATTATGTATTAATTATTATGTATTTCATATTGAGAAAAACTTGAACTCTTCAGCATCACCTAAGTCAATAGCAGTGAAATACTCCTTGTATCCAAGCGCTTTTATGTAGAAAGTTTTGTTTGAATACGACTAGTAGAAATATTTATTTAAAATTTTTCAAAATATCAGTTTTTATTTACATGTGCTTGCCACATGCTAAAAGTGGCCAATAAGGACATGAAAATGCCCAGTGCACGTGAAAATCGCATCTCAGTATTTTGACCTTTAGAATCGATTTCCGACGTTTCCAGAGGAATGGGATGTAAACATCGTATTGTCTCAAATATTTGAACTTGAACTTTCGGTCAAAGCTCTCAGGTAAAATTTAGATATTTTGAAATACCAAAATAAAAGATGCAAATCTGCAGATACAAGCTTGAAATTAACTCTTTCTCACCACATCCCAGACGCATCCATCTCAACAGCTAGAAATTTCATACCTTCGGTTCAGTGCATGCTATGAAGACAGAAATACCACCATTCGATTCAGAAATAAAAGATCAACTAGTTCCAAACGATAGTTTTAGTCATTATTAACTCTGTAATGATTTATATATATATATATAGTCTTTCATGTTTCGCTCACTACTCTGGTTTAAATAAATGATTACAAAGCCCAGTCGAATTGTAATGAAGACCCAACGTTTCGACACTCCAGTCTAGTGTCTTCATCAGGGGTGATCTAAAATTGCAATCGTGGCTTCTTAAATACCCAAGGGATGACGTCACCTGCCAATGAGATGCACATATTCCTCTGGCAAATAGGCACCGTCATCCCTATTCAAAGCATGATTACTCACATTTATATGCCACGTTTCTAGGCAAAGTCTTTGACCATAGCAATTGTTTGTGGTAATTACTTTAGAGTTTTCCCACACAATCTCGTGTTTGGTGTAACATACATGTTCAGCTAAAGCTGATTTTCCCTTGTCTAAAGTTGAAACAGCCTTTTGATGTTCTTTTAGCGGTGTACCAAACTGGCATTTAGACTGATCCAAATACTCTTTCTCGCAGTCACCGCATGGTATAGAATATACAGCATGAGTTTTCTAATTTGTTTTAACAGGATCTTTTTGCTTTGCGAAAATATGGCCTAAAGTCAAATAGGGTTTTAAGGCAACCTTAATATTACAATTATCTTAAGTAATTGTAATATTAAGGTTGCCTTAAAACGCTATTTGACTTTAGGCCATATTTTCGCAAAGTCAAAAGATCCTGTTAAAACAAATCAGAAAATTCATGCTGTATATTCTATACCATGTGGTGACTGTGAGAAAGGCTGTTTCAACTTTAGACAAGGGAAAATCAGCTTTAGCCGAACATGTATGTTACACCAAACACGAGATTGTGTGGGAAAACTCTAAAGTAATTACCACAAACAATCGCTATGGTCAAAGACTTTGCCTAGAAGCGTGGCACATAAATATGAGTAATCATGCTTTGAATAGGGATGACGGTGCCTATTTGCCAGAGGAATATATGCATCTCATTGGCAGGTGACGTCATCCTTTGGGTATTTAAGAAGCCACAATTGCAATTTTAGATCACCCCTGATGAACACAATAGACTGGAGTGTCGAAACGTTGGGTCTTGATTACAATTCGACTGGGCTTTGTATTCATATATTTAAACCAGAGTAGCGAGCGAAATATGATTGATATACCTGGTTGCAGTGAACGAACAAACTTTAGATATATAGTCTTGTTTTTCGTTATTTGTAGACTTCCTAAAAAGATGCAAAAACCGGTACCCTCAAAGTTGCTGTCATTTATTCACCATTTATTCAATCCGTCTTATTTTTTTGCCACAGGGAACGTGAATTGTGTCTTAACTTGCTGATCTAGTTGAAACTTGTAAACAGTCAGGCGACTCAGTGCGACTCTAAAATTTACCAAAATTGAACCTTCAAATTTGCTTGAAAATAGCTCTGCACAGGTGAAATGAGTTTCGGCATCTACCGAAGCCGTAAAAAAATTTTCAAAAAATAAATTTATTTTGGACACTTGTATTCCAATGCCTTTCAACACACAAAAATTGAAGGAAATGTATTTTCCAAAGTCGAAGTCACTGGACTGCTCTTAGCATGACTGCCACTTAAATGTAGGAGTGATAAATCGGTTGAATTAATATCAGGTATTTTGATTGATTTATCATTCAAAGTACACTTGCTAAGGAAATTGCAACTACACAAATCTGCATATAAATTGCTATCAGGATCAAGGCCTTTTGGTAGTGTTAAACATTTATGAAACCTTGGTAAGAAAGGATTAAATACTAGAAGTTACTATCGCAGGTGAAATGCTGCCTATAGCCATCAATGTGACAATCTCTCTGCAAAATAATTGTTGTAAGTTGTGTCTGAGTTTTGCAGTGAGTTTTCAATCTATAGAGTTTTCGGCCCTTGCCACTAATTTGCAGCCCGGTTTGCAAGCTAGCAATGAACGGCATTATTTGTGCACATGTGCATACCAGGAGTCCACTCAGGCATGTTAATGCCTGGGTCTACGACATTCCTGATCACAAGTCTAAAACAATATTGTTAAAAGGCATATGTAAGAACATTACAGTGCTGATTACGAGGTTAAATTTCTTCTGAATATTGTATGCTGTTAAGCCAGGATCAAACAACATGCAAGTAATTGCAAGGTTTAACTTCTGATGTATTGAAAAGAATGAAATAATAATTAAAGGAAGCAACATGCAAATGTGAAATACTAAAAAACTGCCTGTAATTGGAGTATGTATAATTTTGCTATGGCACTGTACTACACAGCAAAACATGTCATTTACCCTTGTGTTTTCAAAATATTGACCCCTTTTAATAGTTTGCATTGTTCAGAATATTCATTCCAGCTTTTCCATATGTTACAAGTCTATGGTGGCCCAGCAGTATCAGGATAATTTTGTGTACATTTTGTATTGTAAATACCATTATAACATTGCTTTTAATTTAAAAGTTTATATTGTTTTCAATGTTAAATACAATCTAATTTCATTTCATCACATAAAATGAGTTGTACTTTGTTTTCAATTGTAAATTTAGTTTAATGTTGATTCACATTTTAAAATAGATATTACAACTTGATATCAGATTTTAAAAATTTTAATTTTCTTACTTGGGTATTAAACATGCCATGCAAGAAAAAAATATGAAAACCTTCACGTGGCCCATCGATATCAGTATCAAGAATACAAATTCATTACCCATAATCCTTTGCAAATTGCGAAAATCATGTCAAATTTTCAGTTTATGTGACAAGTGACTGTCGTGTTCAATGGCATATAATTTCGATTGGAAAAACAACAAAAATTTGAAAACAGATCTCGATAAGTATGTCCGCGAAAACTTGAAAAAATGTGAAATCCTTGACTTCGTTAAACGCGACTATCCTGATTATCCATGGAGTATGGCAACACTAAGTCGACGACTTAGTCACTTTGGGATCAGGTATATCAATTATGAAACCCCATTACAAGATGTAACCGAAGCAGTTTCGAAAGAACGGGAAGGTCCTGGAGGATGCTTAGGATACCAAGCCTTAAATCAAAAGCTGAGAACTCAGCACAACATCAAAGTTCCACGGCATTTAGTGTATAACATGCTTATGGATATGGATCCTGAAGGCCTGGAAGCCAGAGGTGTCAACAAGAAAATTAAGAAGCGGAAAGTCCCATTTTCATCCAAAGGGCTAGTTTTGTTAGACGGGCATGACAAATTATGCGGGTATCAGAACTGGACATTTCCTCTGTGTATCTACGGCTGTTTAGATACATTCGAACCTCGTTCCCAGGGTATTTAGGAAATACCCTGGTATGGGCTGGTTACGTGCCTCGTCCAAAATTTAGCGCCCGAGGGGGTGTGGGGAAAGTATCAAAGTACATGATTCCAGTGGAGATATTTTGTTTAACAGTTAAAAACATTATTAAGTTCAAAATACTTGCTAATTTTTGTTTATTTTCTTTGCTTTGAATTTACAAGAACATTCTTACATTTTTACCAACAGTCAAGTCAAGAAACCAAGCAAATCGTTACTCACAGTGCTCTCTCGTGTTGTTATTCAATGCCGTCTCTTCACACTCGAGTGCGGTTTTATGACAAACGTTTATTATAAGCTTTTCAGTCATCATTTCTACATATGCAATGTTTTCAAAATACGCCAATAGATTTGTCCTTTCTTGTAAATGTTTATATGCTTTGCACCTATTTAATTACTTGTTACTACGTCTACAGGTCTTGTTTTAATATAAGATTGAAAGAAACAGTATTGTATTGTCTGCCATCTGGGACTAGAGCCCAATATTAATAGCAAATGTAAACATTTGATACTAGCCAAACAGAGAAAGTCTGTCAGTGATTATAAAATGTTGGATTGAGTACCTAGTATTCGGTGATTATAGTCAGGCTTTAGCCTTTTTCTTGGTCTTTATTAATCATAATATTTTCCTAATATACTAAATCTATATATCACAAATTTACAGTGTCAGATGCGCACAGACTGTCATACGAATAAACATAAATTTTCGAGTTCTCTACTTCTACTAACATTTTTAAAGTTTTCATTGTGAATCATCTGTTTATTTCTAGTTCATTAGTCGTTAATATGCTCTAAAAAACAAGGCTCTCAAATATATTGTATATTTATTTGATAGTGTCATAGTGATATATGCATTTACAAGCAATCCTGGATATGATAAAGATGATACAAGCTGTCCATTAAAAAATGACGGTATTCTATTCCACAAAGCAAAAGATTTAAATCTCACTTGTATTATTAAAGAATATATATAATTATAAAGCAAAAACTTTAAACTTGTGTGAGTTGTGTCAAAACGAAAGCTGTTTATAAAATTTATAAATGTTGTAAACACTACTATTAATATAAAGTGCCCATTGAAAGATAAAATATAGTATACTGTCGTTTGACTTATATTTGATGTATGATTTTAATACTGTAGATTTTCAACAGACAGCTAGACTTAACATATGCCATGATTGTTGAGTTTCAACAATGCCAAGGGGCAATGCAGGAAGTTTTATAAGCTTCTATAGTCAACAATCTGGATACAGTTGGCGTCTTGACGATATTTCGGAAATCAAAAGATCTCGCTATTTCGTTGCAATTCCATGCCACATCTCATCAATAAATAAATTCTTTTGGTTCGAGTATCTAGATATACTTTACTAACAGTTAAATAAATGAATAACCACATTGTTCGGTCTAGATATATATATATTTTCTTGTACTGATTTATATTGCCACGCCGTCCACACATGCTTTCTCAGTGACAAGTCTATAAGTTGAAATCTGATAGAACTTGCTTGAATTGTAACTCGACACTAGATTATAGAGTAGAAAGTCACATCACGATAAATATTAATTTTTAATTGCAGTTCTTTTCACAAATAATCACGATTTCTTTGAAGATTCAATGGTTATTGTTTATATTTATAGAGCGATCTAATTAATTGTCACAATATATACTCACTCCCCTACCCTGGTAAACAATACGCCATTTTACGCAAAATCCGCGGGTCACATGACCAGGCCATACCAGGGTATTTAGCTCCCCAAGAGCAAATACCCTGGGTATGAGGTATTATAGCAGCTGAAAGATATTATATTTATTTGTGTCCCATTCAAACTCTGATCCCATGATTGTTGGCAAGAAGTACCTGGAATATTTAACCAAGCATCGTATTATACCTGGATTACTTAGACTTGACAACGGAACAGAAACGGGTAAAATGTCGACGCTGCATGCCTTTCTCATGGATAAAGCTGAGATAATGGACGATGCTGTGGATTCTATTATATACGGTCCTTCCACATCGAGTAAAATCGAGCGGTGGTGGTGTGACCTACACAAACGGTTTGAGCGATATTTTAAAGAGCATTTGGCTTACTTACTGCAACAAAGATACTATGATCCGCACAATGCTCATCACAGGCAGTTAATGACATATGTCTTCACCCCAGTTATCCAGAGAGAATGCGACAGTTTTGTCAGTAACTGGAACACGCATCGTATTCGAGAACAGAAGAATCTTTTGCTGCCAACAGGAGTACCCGATCATATGTTTTCTTTTCCAGAACAATATGGGGGAGTGCAATGTGGTATTCCAATATCTTCAGAGCATTTTAGAGAAGCAGCCGAAGTCTCTGGTTTACTCGATTCAGTAGAGCGAAACGTCGATTTGAGTGGCAAGAGAATGCAAGAGACTTCTGCCAACTCCATATAAACTGGAATCAAATAAAGTAACAGAAGTGTACATTTATCTGAAGGAAAGTCTGCAATTGTAACATTACCCTGCTTGTGTATTGTAACATTACCCTGCTTGTGTTTACATTTCATTACTGAATACTATACTGTATCGTACATTGCCATTTATAGTTGTTAGTTGTGCAGAACAATGGGTTGGAAAGTGACTGTTGACACAAATTTACCAAATTTAGTCGAAATATGAAGCTATTTTGGTATGAAAGTTTTATATTAAACTCTAATCTTTTGTATCACATTTCTCTTGCTATAACAACTCGCCCTATTACAGTAAATTACCTGAAATGTACACACAAATAGCATTGTCTTATTGGATGTTCAGCACTGTCCACAGCAATAGCTTTTTTACTGTAGTGTAATCAAAACAAAGGCACAGCTATTAGTTATTTATATTATCATATTTGTAAATAGAAGACCGACCTTTCTGGAATTTTTGGTTTAATTGACCTTTTCACCGTTTGGATGAAGGGCAAGAAGAGAAATTTACAGTAAAAGCACAGATTCTTATTTTGTGGTAAAAGTGTCTTAACTTTACTTCCAGTGAAATTCCAAGAAAGCATAAATTTCAAGTTTTTAAATTTGTGAATTTACACTTTTATTGTCATAACCATAGGTAAGCGTACAATCCCCAACACTGCATGGACATATGGTGATTTATAACCTTACGATGCTATGTTGAATGATCGCATGCAGGTATATATTGTGGCAGTATGTGAGGAAACATTTACTGTAATGTAAACAAATAAGATTTATTTAATTTGAACATTATACATGTTAATATATCTATTTGCAGTTCACAGATTAAAGAAATCAAGATATATATATATATGTGACGAATATACCCTGTATAATTACAGTGAAAATAAAAAGTGTCCCACTTCTGCTGCTGTAGTTTGTTGTGATCATACTGTAATTTGTTCTGTTTTCCGTAGCGATTACAAATTTATCGGCAAATACTGTGATAAAACTTAGTTTTCTCTATTTTTAAATATGATAATTTGTAGCAAAGGGAAATAATAAATTTTTCGTTAGTTTCATTGCATAAAAGTACGAAATTTAAATTTTATCGCAGTATTTGTCAATAAATCAGTAATCGCTACAGAAAAAAACCAGAACAAATTACAATAAATCACAACAAACTACAGAAGCGGAAGTGGGACACTTTTTGTATTCTCACTGCAATACAGCGCATATAAAATGTGCTTTATAAACACAAACATCGAAACACAACAATCCGTTCTTCGATCCTTTTGTTACACAAGGACACTAAGTTCCATCATTTGACAAAACTTGTTACAAATATGTTGTCTCTTAAATTCGTTGATCCCAACAATTGATAAATTTCCTGTGCAGAAATAAGCTTCATCACCAACATTCGACGACTTAGAACAATCAACCTCCCTCTTACTTGTTGATATTTCAGGATCGTAGAGTGAATATCCCGAACCTTGAATGTCTAAAATCATAAGTTCTTTGTTGCTATATTCATAGCTAAAATGCGAATGGCACTGAGTTTTCAACAATTCGTCTAACTCTTCATTAGGAGAATCAGTACACTCTCCATCGTTATTTATGTACTTCACAAATTCTCCAGGGATGTACGCTTCAACTGTGACAGGGACATTTTCTAGCATAGAATAAAACACACTTCCCATATGAAAAGGTATCTCCAAATTCTGCCGGAATTTTTGTTGAAAATCGTTGTGTTATGTTTCTAGCAACGCTATGCATTTGAATCTACTTTTGAGTGTGTGCTTCTACACTTAATTTCAACGTATCTTGGACAGTTTTAATGGACTCCTCCAGATACTTGTTGACCACCCACTTGCCTTTCAAAGTAGACGAGGAATCATCGCATGTGGTAAGGAATGCATCGCGAAACCCCCCACTGGCAAATTTCTTTTCTTCTATTTCCAATGACATCGAAGCGCTGTCCGTCGACCAGGAACATTTTTGGACATCAAATTACTCCAAGCATAAAACAACGGTTTTCGGAGGATTTACTAATTTTCCAACTCTCATTAAATCACTTATTGATAATGACTTCGGGTAGACGGTAGGAGTTATCCGGACATTTCCCTCACACGGCTGATTTTTGCTTGGGGATATCGCTGGCGTTGATCTCGTTTGATGCCTGACATTCAAACCGGTACAATCGCTTACCTCACAATACTCAATTGGCTGTAAACTAGGGATCCAAGGATAGTGCAGAGTTTCAAAGATGAACGCTATATTGACATGCTTATTAATTGAATAGTTTTTCAAGCATGGTTTATAGCTTTAATCACATGTCGATATGACGTACAGTAGTAGCGCGTGACTGTTACAACAGTAAAAATGCTAAGATCTGGTTTAAATCTAATACTTTAAGATTAAAGAATGACGAGAGTTATGTAATATTGTTTATTTCCTCATATAATATTAGTCACAAGGCATAATTTCTGTTATAATGTTGTAAAGTTTCCAATTGAAAATGACACTATATAGGGTCGCCGGCAACCTAGGTGACTTATTTAAATCTGTGATTATTCCCACCATCGTTTTAGCGCCCATATTGTACACTTTGGCTATTGTCTCAGTCACAACTTGAGAAAATAGCTGTATAAGATATGTTATGGATAATAAGCACTACGACGTTGTATTCCATTACAAAAAAGGAACATAAATCTAAAACATCGAAACGTAAATAAGAGGTGAAAATTAAAATGACCCATTTCATCCATAACAGTTCCGCATTTTATCCCCATATCCGTTCCGTGAATCCGCATCCGCTTTCCGCATTTTAATCTAATTATGACGTGTTCACAATAACAAGTCTCATTGACCTTTGATATATTTCGAAGGTCACATTGTTGTTTCATGAGTCATTTTCAGCTTTTCGCATGTATTCAATAATGTAACTTTAGATTTCAATAGTTTCACAGATATTGCAGTGTTTATATAGCAGTTTTGACAAGCTTTGATACAGATAGATTCTTGTAAGATCTGGTACAGTTTTCGTTGCACTGAACACGAGTTTGCACCGTTGTGCTATACACATAAACAAAGATTTTCTCAATATTCATGCCTGAAATGTTCATACATTTCAAAAGACAAAACAACACTGTCTCGCTGCTTCCTAGCTTTGTATATTGAAATTGAATATACCGTCAAAATAATATCGGTACTTAATTGAATGCCCATAATGCATAAGTCATAACATCAATTTATATATTGCGTAGATTCTCAAAGATTTACTCGATATTCGCGTCTATAAAAATGTTTATAATTTGAAAACAACACTGTTCGGCAGTGTCGCTCCTTCCTAGCATCGTCAATAGCGCATGCGCATTTGCGCTGCTAAAGAAAAAATGGGTGTTCCGGGGGAAAGATCTTTCACACAACACAGAGAAGCAAATGTTATAAAATTGACAAAAAATTGCAATAACAACAATTCCTGGAAATTTTTGTGAACTTGGCAAAAGGACAAAATAAGTATTTAAATAAGACAACTGAAATTGCCTAAATAACACCTTCAAAGCACTAAGTAGAATAAATCACCACGACGATAAATCGTATACACCCCACCCCCCCGGAAAGTTTACTCTATGATATCTGATGTATGACAGATGCAAATTTTTGCCACTCATCACAATAGTGCACAGTTTCAAAGAAACTCTGCACTAAAAACGTATGAAAAACACTTTCTTTGCTTTAATTTGTTCAATTTTTGTACAGGATGGACCCCTGTCCGATGCTAAAATATCACATGAACCCTGAGGTGCTTTGTAAAATTGCTCACATGCATCCTTGATATTTTCAATAGAAAGCTCATCATATTCACTAAAAGGCACAAAGTCTCTGGTATCAAGCGGTTCATATTTCTTTAGTCTCCCCGAAGCTGTCAAAGACATGCATTGTACCAATTTATCACTGGGAGTATTTTCAGTCGATCGCTTTCCACTCTTATCTCAGTTTGTTTAAGACCCACTCGTTGTTCAAAGTCCTCCCATGTCGTTTTATTATTAGCATTTCTACGACGTTTCATTTCTCACTAATAATCTTATTTACTGTATTTAAATATATCAGAAAAGGACAAAATTTCAGAATTAACATTCCACACACGTGCCGACTGAATTCGCGCTTACAATCGCAAAGGACTATGGGTAGGTATTCTTGATACTGATATCGATGGGCCACGTGAAGGTTTTCATATTTTTGTCTTGCATGTTATTACCCAAGTAAGAAAATTAAAATTAAATAAAATCTGATATCAAGTTGTAATTTCTATTTTAAAATGTGAATCAACTTTAAACTAAATTTACAATTGAAAACAAAGTACAACTCATTTTATGTGATGAAATGAAATTAGGTTGCATTTAACATTGAAAACAATATAAAGTTTTAAATTAAAAGCAATGTTATAATGGTATTTACAATACAAAATATACAAAAAAATTATCCTGATACTGCTGGGCCACCATACAAGTCCAAACTTGTGTTGAATTGCATCTCATTTGAGCCGGACTTCAGAGTAACACAATCTACCACTTGGTTTGTTGCAAGCTTTGTGTACCAATATATGTGTTTTATTACCCTGAATTAATCCAACAGGATGATCTGCTAGATTTGTTGAATGCTTGTGGCTATTCAGCACAACAGTCTTTTGGTGATAAAGACAAGCTTTCGAGTATGATTACTAGGTGTCCGGACATTTTGACAAGTTTATTGAAATTTTGCGATATAAATAATATCATTCATGAACGCGATTTCCATGAGAACTGTGAATTCAACATACTTTAAAAAGCAGCGCACAAAAAGTATCAAAATCTACACTAAATAATTCAGTTGACAAGACGAAAATGAAACCAACAAAAGCTAATAACACTTCAAGCTAATCACCAGAAAAAAGCGAGAAAAAAACGAGAAGATAGCGACTGAATTGAAGAAATATACGGAATGTTGAAAACCGTCATGGCGAAATTAGACACCTTGGACGTCGAACAAGATTTCAAACAGATGAAAAGTTCTCTTGAATTCGCTCATGCAGAAGTCAAAGACTTGAAAGACGAAGTTGAAAGAACCAAGAAATCCGAAAACGAAATCCAATGCAAAATGCGCAATTTAGAAGAATCAAACCGCCTGTTACAAGAGAGCGTCATTGACCTGAAGGTTTGATCCATGTGGGATAATCTTCTCTTCTATAATGTTGAAGAAGAAGAAGGAGAAAATACAGACGAAAAGATCTACCAGATTCTGGAGGAGAAATTACAGATTCCTGATGCTAGAAATAGGATCAAGTCAATCGATCTCATCAATCAATCTCATAGAGTTATATGTGATAAAACACGACTACAAGTGCTTTAAATAGTACTTAAAAGTAGCAATTGA